TAAGACGTAATATTTCTGGAACAAATCATGGTTTCGGCTTTCAGAAGTGAAGCGCAGTTGCGAAAAATAACTTCTCAAGTTCCATAACCGACAGGCGAGTTTAAGTTCGAACAGGCGAAATCTTTATGATCCTCTTTACGTCTAAGAGACAGAAAAATAATTATGTTCTTATACAAAAAACGCAATGTGTTAGTAATTTTAAAAGACATTTAAATAAATATTTTTTATCTTCTTTTGTATTTATATATCAGTAAGATCCTTAGGAATTGTTACTATCTGAACCGGCTTATTGTAGCTGACCATTTAACCCAGTTCAAAGAGGAAAATTAAATTTTCAACAAGAAAATCTGAAACAAGAATTTCCTTCGAGTAAACTGGATTTCATAACTTTGACCGTTGGAGTGAACTTGACTGGATGAGATTGGATCTCTACAATTCCATTCCGGACTTAACAAAAAAAAAACGTCGAGAGTTGGAATACTGCTATTTTATACAGATGAACTACATTCGTTTTGCTGAAAACCTGAGTTTATTGATTAGAGCTTTTGGAAAATGTAGGATAAATATTTACTTGTATAATCAATACTTATAACTGGTATTATCTCGCATGCTTTCAAGCGCGTAGACATGAGATTTTATCTAATGAATTCCAAGTTCTGTTTTATTCAATATATTATCAATGAAATTACCACCAAAGAGAACTTTTACCATAAAATGTGTTTTTTTAAACTTCTACAGATTAATCTCTTAATGGCATCCATATTAACGGAAACTTTACAGAAATCACATTAGGTATCTATAAGCTGCTTTAAGTTTCAATCACATCACGTTTAAAATTACTATCCACGTTACTTTTTTGTACCGAAAATTCCAGTGAAAATGTTTCTGAAATTCTGTATTCTATTAAATGGACATCAAGTTTTTTTTATTAGTACCAGTAGACCTTGTATAAACGCGGACAAACAGAACGTGTTGTAGATTATGCATCAGGTCAATATGTTAAGCCAGCAAATTGAAAACACATGCTGCTAGTCGCTACATGAATCGAGAACGTATTGACGTAAATATTTAATACAATTCTGATAATCGATTCATAAAAGATGTTTTGAATTTACTAAGTCGTATTATTAGGCCGATGTCAAATAAGGAAATACACACTTCTTAATTTGGACGATTATCTGGCAACTGATCAGGAAAAATGAAATTTTACGTACAT